TCAAACTTGAGATCTGCCTGCCTTCTGAGTGCTAGAATTTAAGGCATGCACCACCGATTTTGACTTTTCATTAGTTTATCTTGTAATGTCTACCTTTTCATCTCTAATCTTAGTAACTTTGTTTATCTCTCTTGGTTTTTTAGTTTAGCTAAATGTTTGTTCCTCTTAATTATCATTTCAAAGAATTAACTCTTCATTGATTTTCAAAAATTTCTTTCTTTTTTTTTTTCGGTTTTTCAAGACAGGGTTTCTCTGTAGCTTTGGAGCCTGTCCTGGAACTAGCTCTTCTTGTAGACCAGGCTGGCTTCGAACTCACAGAGATCCTCCTCTCTCTGCCTCCCGAGTGCTGGGATTAAAGACGTGCACCATCACCACCCAGCCTGATTTTCAAAAATTTCTGTCTTTTATTTCCTGATCTTTTTTTTTTAATCTACTGACTTTGGGTTTACCTCTTTCTTGTTTTTCCAGAGTACTGAGGTTATGTGAGAGCCCTCTTGATTTTTTTAAAAATAGACACTGGTAGTTAGGAACTTTCTTCTTAGGGCTGTGTTCATTCTATCCTATAGGTTTTTGATAGGTTCTCTGCATTTTCATTCAATTCTCAGATTTTAAAAATTTCCCTCTTGATTTCTTCAGGGACCCATTTATCTTTTAGTTGGGTGTTGTTTAATTCCCATGAGTTTATGTATTTTCTATAGTTTATCTTGCTATTAATTTCTGCTTCATTACATTGTGGCCACATTGGAAACAACAAAAGCTGTTGTAGTTTTCCTGATTCTAATAGGATCTATCTTAGAGAAAATTCCATGGGCTACTGAGAAGAATATGTATTTTTAAAAATATATGTATTTCTTTGGTTTTTCGAGACAGGGTTTCTCTATGTAACCTTGGCTGTTCTAAAACTCACTCTGTAGACCAGACCAGGCTGGCCTTGAACTCTCAGAAATCTGCCTGCCTCTGCCTCAGCTTCCTAGTTCTGGGACTAAAAGCATGCATTCCCCCCTCAGGCTTTATATTTATTTTTTTAAGTTTCGTGTGTGTGGGGTGTGTGTGCGTATGCAGTTGCACGGGTAGAGAGGGATAAGTGAACAATTTTGTGAAATTGGTTCCCCCCCTTCTGTATTTTATTTGTTATTTATTTTAGTGGGATGTCCTGTCTTATTGATGAGAGTAGGGTATTAAAGTCACCATTGTGTTGAGATTAATTTGGTTTTATATTTAGTAGTATTTATTGTAATGAATTGGTGGCATCCATGTTCTGTGTACACGTTTAAATTATAGTCTTGGAGTGCTCCCTTATCAGTATGAAGTGATTTTTCTCTGTCTTTTGGTTTGAAATCTGTCTTCTCAGATGTTAGCAGAATGACACACATATTTACTTCCTGTTTTTCTTTCCGTGGAATATGTTTTCCCCATCCTTTTACTGTAATCTTCCATTTGTCTTTGATGTCAAAGCACATTATTTGGAGGTAGCAAATAGATGGATTCTGTCTTGTTGATTTTTTTTTTTTATTTCTTTGTTTTTATGTGTATGGGTATTTTACCTGAATGTTTGTCTTTGCACCATATCCAAGCTTGGTGTCCCCAGAGGCTAGTAGAAGTCTTTGGGTCTCCTGGAAGTAGAATTAAGATGGTTGTGAGCTAGTTGATGATGTGGGTGCTGGGAACTGAACCCGGTTCTCTGCAAGAACAGGAAGTGCTCTTAACTGTTGCGTCATCTCTCTAAAGCCTTGATCTTTAAGTTAAAAAAAATTGTGCCTGTGTTTGCTACAGACCTTGAGAACTAAATGGGTCAGTTAGACACCGGTCACAGTCATTTTTCACCGGCTTCTTTTACAAAGATTGTTACCTGGCTTAATAAATTATTTTATAGCAATTGTATTTTGAAGGAATAGACATTATTGTGTGATGATCTGTTGAGGCTTCTAATCCTCTATCACTTGGAAGTTCTGTTTTTTTATTTTTGTTTACAGTGTGTGTGTGTGTGTGTGTGTGTGTGTGTGTGTGTATCTTATCGGAGCTGGTTGTTTCTAGCATGTGGATTCTAAGGGTCAAATTCAGGTCATCAACATCCTGCCCACTGAACCATCTTGCTAGTCTTCTTCGTTTTGAGAAGGTTCTCACTTCCATAACCCAGGCTGACCATAGACTTTGAGCAGTTCTTCCTGCCGTAGCCTCTCAAGTGCTGGTGTTGCAAGCATGAACCATCATGCTTCACTTTTCTGAACAGCATTGTTAAGGTACAGCTTATATGCCATATTGTTCACCCATTAGTGTGTGCATTTCAGTGGTTTCTAGTCTAGTGAGACATATGTATCTATTACCATAGTCAATTTTAGAATATTTTCATTATTTCAGAAAGTTAACTTGTACCCTTCAGATGTTGTCCCACCATTTTCCCAGCTTCTAATCTTAATATAGCAACTAATCTATCAATATAGATTTCCCTGTTCTGGAGTTTGAATGAGTAGAACCGTGTGTGTGTGTGTGTGTGTGTGTATGTTTAAGTGTTTTTTTTTCCTGCTCAGAGTGGGGGTGGTGATGTTATCATAGTGCATTGTCTACAGGTATAACCATGTAAATAAATAAAAATAGGGTCTTGCCTTGTAGCTTGTGATCCTCTGGCTTCAGTCTCACCTCAGTGCTACAGTCTCAAAAGTTTGTCACTATGCCTGGCTTCCACTTTCTTGTTAATACTTTCACTGTCATGCTCAGTATCTGTGGAATGCAGAGAGTCACAAAGACTAGGCTTTGGTTTATTTCTCTCCTTTTTTTTTGGTTTGTTGTTGTTGTTGTTTTGGTTTTTTTGAGACAGGATTTCTCTGTATAACAGCTCCTCCAGCTCTCCTGGAACTTGCTCTGTAGACCAGGCTGGCCTCAAACTCACTGCTTGCCTCTGCCTCCTAAGTGCTGGGATTAAAGGTGTGCACCACGGCCTGGCAGCTTTGGTTTTCTTTTAATTCTTGTGTGTGTGTGTGTGTGTGTGTGTGTGTGTGTGTGTGTGTGTGTCTTACTGTGTAGTCTTGGCTACCCTGAAACTAATAATTCTCCTACCTCAGCTTTCCCAGTGTCCAGATGGTGTGAATGCCCTACCATACATGACTGGTTTTCTTTTTCTTTATTTAGTTTTAAATTTTAAAAAAAATGTTGTTTTTGTATGTGTATGCTTATGTGGGTGCCCACAGAGACCAGAAGTAGGTGTTGGATCCCCTGAAGATTGAGTTTATAGGCTGTTGTAAGCTGCCCTATGTGGATGAACTGAGTCCTCTGCTAGAACAGCAGAAACTCTTAACCACTGATCCATCTTTCCAGCTTCCTTGTTTCTGTTCTAAGATGTGATCTCCGGTGGCTCAGGTTGACCCCAGATTTCCTTTGTAGTCCGAGATGGTTTGAACTACTGATCTCCCCACTGCCTCCACAAAATACTGAGATTCCAGATGTACCACCATGCCCAGAAGATGAATGATATCAAAAGATGATTAGAGGAATTGGGTGTGATTCTGTAGTAGAGTTTTTGCCAGGCATGTGTACAGGGCTCTAGGTTCAATGTCAGTCACCACAAAAAACAGAAAGGTAATAAACTACGGAAAGTTTACTAACCAAATAAGAAGATAAAATTTCCTGCCCTTTGAAACTAAGAAATTTTGTTGTAGGTTTACTGTTAATGTGGAAAGGTATGCCATAGACTGCTAGAAATATCTGTAATTTAAATCTAACTCCCCCCTCCCAAACAACCCCTTTTTATCTAAAGAACCTCTACCAGCTGGGTGATAGTGGTGCACACCTTTAATCCCAACCCTCTGGAGCAGAGGCAGGGAGATCTCAGAGTTTAAGGCTGACCTGCTTTGTTGAGCAAAGTGCTGGACAGCCAGGGCCACACAAAGAAACCCTATCTTGGAAAACAAAAAACTAGGTGGTAGTGGTACACATAGCACTTGGGAAGCAGAAGTAGATGGATCTCTTCCAAGTTTAGGCCAACCTGGTCTACATAGTAAGTTCCAGGACAGCCATAAACACAGAGAAACCCTGTCTTGAAAAAACAAAACTCTCTCTCTCTCTCTGGCAAAATGCTTGAGACCTGTGTCAGTTTCGTCACTCGATGGGACTTAGAACCACCATGGAACCATGTCTCTGGGCATATCTTTGTGGGCTTATCCAGATTATGTTAATAGAAGTGGGAAAACATATTACAATGAGTGACCAGTAAAGAAGAGTTTCATATAGGCATAGCATTGTGTAGGAAAAACAGCTGGATATGGTAGAGTTCCAGTCGTCGCAGAATTTGGGAGGGTGAGGCATGAGGGTTTAGGCATCTAGATGTGCGTGGGTCACAGAGACAGACCTAACTGAAGAAGAGAAGGGTAATTTTCCAGATGGGTGTAGTGCACAGCTATGCATATGGGAGGCTGAGGCATGTGAGTGCATCCTGACTATGCTACATATGAGACTCCTTGTCTCAGAAGAAAAGTATTTTGAGAAACAGCATAGCTTTAGTTTGAAAATGTAGAACCTTAGAAATGGCTGTATTCATAATTCATATAGCACTAGATATGTGTGTACCACAGCACACTTGCAGAGGTTCGGAATCAGTTCTCTCAGAGACGGAACTCAGGTCATGAGGTTTGGTAGTAAGAGCCTATTCACTGAGTCACCTCAAGGCTCTATTTTTATTTTATGTACTTTTGGTTTATTTGAGGCAGGGTCTTAAGCTAGTGTTGGACTTCCAATGTTGTTGGAATGAACTCCTAATCCTCTTGCCCCCTCTCCCAGATTCTGGGATTACAGGTGTGTACTATGTGTGTGCCTTTTATTTTCTTAGTCTAAAGCAGGGCTTTGAACTTTGATATACCTGGCCCCCGTAGAAAAATAACCATGATCATAAAAAAAAAAGCACTGACTCTTTTTTAAAAAATAATTTATTTTTTAAAATTTATTTGTTTGTTTATTTTTTGAGACAGGGTTGAAGCCTGCCCTGGAGCTAGCTCTGTAGACCACAGAACTCACAGAGATTCACCTGCCTCTGCCTCTCGAATGTTGGGATTAAAGGTGTGCACCACCACTGCCTGGTTTTATTTTATTTTATGTGCATTGGTATTTTATATGTATGTATGTCTGTGTGAGACTGTCTGATCCTGGAGTTACAGAAAGTTGTAAGCTGCCATGTGGATGCTAGGAATTGAACCTGGTCCTCTGGAAGAGCAGTCAATGTTCTTAACCCCCGAGCTATCTCTTTAGCTCCAAAAGCACCAACTCTTAAAATCAAGGGAAAGCACCGACTCTTAAAATCAAGGGACTTGTTCTGAATTTGGATGTATTGTGGCTAGTATGGTTTTGTTAATTATAACTAAGTATGATAAATTCATACTTCTAAATAAAAAGAATGAGACCTGAGTGAAGTGACTGTTGAGCAAAGGGCACACATTAAAGTGTATTTTTAACCTTAGAGAAGAAAATATAAGTAGCTGTTCTTTTCCTCTCTAATCAAGAGAATATTGGGCTTTTGTTTGTTTGTTTGTTCCCCCCCCCCCCCGCCCAAGACAGGGTTTCTTTGTGTCTTTGTGTAACAGCTCTGGCTGTGTTAGAACTTGCTTTGTAGACCTGGCTGGCCTCCAACTCATAGAGATTCGCCTGCCTCTGCCTCCTGAGTGCTAGGATTAAGGCACACACCACCACCGCCCGGCCTGTATTTCTTTAGTTTATGAGATACAGTGAAAAGCAAAGAAGCATTTCAATCCATTGTCTCCTATTGTTCTTTTAACAGTCAAGTCCGTCATCTCCCGAACCAGCCAGTCTTCCTGCAGAAGATATTAGCACAAACTCCAATGGCTCCAAACCTGTAGAAGTCATGCTAGACGATGACAGAGAAGATCTTTTCGCAGGTAGTTGTCATATCTTGATTTTTTTAATGTCAGTATAATAGTGGTATCAATAATAGCCAATTATGATATTATATGCTATTAGAATACTCTCTAAGGCAACTGAATTTTTTTTTGTCTTAATGGTAGCTCTTATTATTACACCCTAAAAAGTGAATCTGAGCATGTCTGAGCATGGCTGCTCCCTATAATCTTAGCATTTGGGACATTGAGGCATGAGGATTGTTGAGTTCAAGGTCAGCCTGGCTTATAGGGTATCACCTATAACCAACCCAGAACAAAACAAAACTTAGGATAGAGACTGTCTAGTAGGGTCACTCTGTAAGAAACACACAGACCATTACAAGAAGCAAAGCTACCCTTTATTTGTAAGCATTTGAAAATAGGGTACATGATATTGACCATACTCTTAGGAAGTAGCAGTGACTGTTGTTTTGGTTGCTGTTGTTACTTACAAATGTCACAAAGCAAAATCAAAGTATGGGTTTAAGAATCACTCTATGTGGGCTAGAGAGATGCCTCAGCGGCTCTTCCAGAGGGACCCAGGGTTGATTCCTAGCACCCGCATGTTGGCTCATAGCCATGTGTTAACTCCAGTTCTAGGGGATTTGATGCCTTCTGGCTTCTGGTGGCACCAGGCATACATGTGGTACATAGAAATACCTGCAGGCAAAACACCCATACACATAAAAAAGCATCACTGTGTGTTACAGTTTGTTGTTAGGTAAGTTGATGGTTGAGTTTGTTTTGGATGTAATATAAGGATAGAATTTGGTGTAGTTCATTCTAACATAAACAATGCTTGACTCTTAAACAATTATACCTTAAAATTAAGATTTAAGTTAATGTTTAATATTGAAAAGAAAAATTTAAATTTTAATATGGACACAAAATTAAAATAGTAAATATTTTTTATTTAGCAATGTAATTTAAATAATTTGCTTTTATTGAATTATTAATATTCTCAACTTCTGTAGTAGTTCATATTCAGATCATTCTGTGCTCCTTGGTATAATTATGCTTGAAGGTACAATTCTTTATTACAAAAGTTCATGTAATTTCCATTTTGATAGCCTGATAAAGAGTGTTGAGAGTGTGAGGCCAGCCTTGGCTATATAATGAATAACAAGATCAGGGATATCAAGACTCTGTTCAAGAAAAGAAGAAAGAACAACAGTATATTGTCAGCATTTGTGTAAAGACTAAAGAATTTGGTGTTGGTGAGAAGGAATCCGTGGGTAAAGTTCTTCCTGTACAACACTGACTATTTTTGAGTTTGAGCCAGTGAACCCTCAGGAAATGGAGGGAACTGACTCCTGAAAATTGTCCTCTGACCTCTACATACTCTGTGACACGTATTCCTGCACTGCCATACGTACACCATGCATACGTACTCTCGCAACAAAAGTTTAAATGAAATGATTTTTAAGCTTTACAATTTAACTTAGCTGTGTTTTATAATGACATCTTTAAGTGATCTAAGACATTTTTGTAAAAAATATACTCTGTTTGGTTCATATTTATAATGTATTTAAGAAGATCTATGTCTTCCTATAGAAGAGTATGACGCTAGGAACTTGTAAAAGCAGCATATACTATCAATCCGGGTGATGAAACTTGTTGTCTAGTAGTAGTAATACATTTTCAGTGCATAGAATTTAGATCTGGCTAAAGCAAAGTAGCCATTGTGACTTATAAGCCAAAAAGAAACCAGATTATGTTGGTGTGTATCTGTTGTGTTTTAGATAACTTAAATAGTTTATGGGTTGTTCATAACAGCATCATACTGGGAAAAAGTTAACTATGGCATGTTGTTAGTTCTTTATAAGATGTTCACCAAATGGGTTCAACTATCTAACCCTTCTCCATTTGGCATTCTTCAAGAATGCCTGAATTTTGATAAAATCAGTGTATGTTCACCCTCAAGTTATAGCTCTCTATATTCCTTAACCTTTTAGATCTGTTTGGAACTAAGCCCTCTGTATCTTCAGTTGTTTACTTAAGCTAAAAGAAGTCATATCAGCCATTTAAAGTCTGGACATAGTCATACACACCCTGATTTCAGCACTTCGGGGATGGCAACTGTAGGATCAGATGCTCCTCAGTAACATGAATTGGAGGATTCATGAGACCATGTCTTTTGTTGTTGTTGTTTGTAACGTGAGGGGCCATCTTGTTGGGGTATCTATCCCGCCCAGTACCCCACAGCCGGCAAGCCCCAAAGAAAATCACACACAGGACTCCATAAGATTATAAACTGATTGGCCCATCAGCTCAGTCTTCTTATTAACTAATTCTTACATCTTACAGTAACCCATAATTCTTGTCTGTGTTAGCCATGTGGCTCAGTACCTTTTCCAGCTGACAGCTCACATGTTGCTTCTTCGGTGATCTGGGCAGGAGTGGTGGAGGGAACTTCCTGCTTCCCAGAATATTCCTGTTCTCATCGCCCCACCTCTACTTCCTGTTTGGTTGACCCACCTATACTTCCTGCCTGGCCAATCAGTGTTTTATTAAAATGCATGATTGACAGAATACAGATAATTCTCCCGCAGCAGTTGTTTTTCACTGTGTAGCCTTGCTGGCCTAGAACTAGCTCTGTAGAACAGGCTGTCCCTGAACCTAGATAGCTCTGCCTGTCTCTGCCTCCCAAGTCATGAGCCACCGCTGCCAGCTCAGACCATGTCTTAAAAACCAAACAGCAAAAAAAAATTTAAGGCAGACCATCTGTATGCTGAACCTAAGCCTATCTATTTGATTTCTTCTCTTTCCATATTAGTTGCTTAGATCATGCCTTACTTAAAGTCCTTTGTTGTTGAAGCAGCTATTAGTACATGCACCTAAAGCTTCGCATCAATGTAGTAAAATGTCATTGAGAAATTCTGAATGACTTTAAATAGTGCTTTTCAACCTTCCTAATGCCCTGACCCTTTAGTACAGTTTCTTATGCTGTGGTGACCCCTAACCAACCATAAAATTATTCTGTTGCTACTTCATAACTGTAATTTTTCTGCTGTTATGAATCATAATGTAAAATGGGAGGTCGCAACCCACAAGTTGAGAACTGCTGTGTTTAAACGATATCAGTGGATTCTGTTGTTGGTTTGTTATTGCTTGTGTGTTGTTGCTGTAGCAGTTCTTCCTCGGGGTTCATGGGGCTTGACGGGCTCTGCTGCTGCTTATGTTCAGGTTGATGCTTCAACCATTTATAAACTTCTCACGTCTTGGTTTCTTTGAAAATTTATTTTTATATGTATGAGTGTTTTTTTTTCATTTGTATATGTGCACCAACTGCATGCAGTGCCTGTAGAAGCACTAGATTTCCTGGAACTGGAGTTGTGGGTGGTTATGTATTATAGATGAGCTGCCATTGGGTTCTGGAAACCAGAAGAGCAGCCAGCAATCTTAACTGCTGAGGCATCCCCTCTAGCCCATACCTAGTTTTGATGTACTACTTTTGACTTTCATACATTGTTCGCTGTTTTTTGTTTTTGAGACAAGATTTCACTATGTCGATCAAGCCTCAAACTCATAGGGATCTACTGTTTCTGCCTCCCAAGTGCTGGGATTAAAGGCAAACATCACCATGTCAAGCTTATTGCTAGCTATTTTCTCTTTCAAATAATTTTTACTATATTTACTTATTTATTAATTCATTTCTGTGTGTGTGTGTAATTTGTGTGTGTATATATGTACATACCACCCCATGTGCATGGAGGTCAGAGGAAAACTTGTAGAAGTTAGCTCTCTTCCTACCATGTGGGTCCCAATAATCAAACTTGTGTCAGGCTTGGTGGAGAGCACCTTTACCCAGTGAACCGTTCTCTGGTCCTGTTTTCATTTCTTAAAAAAAGTAATAAATACTAGCAGTCTACAAAGGCTGAAGTGGTATCTAAACTTTTAGTGTGTTCTGTCAGGGGCGTAGGTGGTCTATTGTATCTGTGGTTTATATTTTCCCCTTTGGAAAGTTTTTAGTTATTAGTCATCTTTCTTTTAATACAAAAACATGAAGAGATCCATACCTTGTCAACATTAAATAGCCAATCCAAATCATTGATAGCATGTCCAGCTGTGTGATTTCAAGTTGGCTGCTTCCAATGGGACAACATTGTTGTCAGTGGACAACAATTACTGCTTTACCCAAATTACAAGAATCCAGAAACTGTAGACTGGAAACCATTGGCCTGATCACTTATTTGCCTATAATTTCATCTTCTTGATATCAATTCTATAAGCCAACAGGACTGTTTTGTCTTAGACTCACTGATTAAATGCCTTTTTTTTTTTGCTTACACTTATTCTGCTATTCTATTTGCATGAATTTTTCCCCAAGTTCTTCCTATAACTATTTAAACTATCTCAAATCAGAGTCAGAGACTATTTCTGATTTTCTTTACCCTGAAGTATTGACTCCTGTGTCTACTCAATTTATAGTGTTTATTCTACCATTTATATAGTAATTGGATGTCTTATAACATTCTTTGTTATTCTTTTAAGTCTTTTATTATTATTTAACATTCCACATGTCTTGTTTTCTTAACTAGATTATAAACTCCCTGAGGGCAGGTATGATTTTTTTTTCCATTTCTTTGTGTTTCTTCATTGCATTTAGCACAGTATTACATAGTCTGTAGATTTCAGTTTATTGTTGTGGTTTGACTTTAAATATATTTAATTTTAGATATTTCAAGTGAATGAGTGTTTAAAATTAAAACCTAAACATCTCTTTGATTTGTGTCATATTTGTATATCCAACTAATACTCAGTAATCTTTGGCAATTAATTGCTTTAGATTACTAACTTGGTGGGTTTTTCCATAACAGAATTTTAAGCCCAAAGGTAGTCTTCTTCCATAAAATTTGTTTTCATATGTATGCAATAATCATTAGCCTGAATAAAATAATAGAAAGGTAAGCTACCGCATGTAAGATGTATTACAATCCAAACACAAATGAATGTGGAAATGAAAAATGAAATTGTGTTTCTCCTAGTAAAGATAATTAAGCTGATTTAATACTGTTCTTCACAAACACAGTTCCTGATTATTGTAAAGTTTTCATAAACAACTAAATAATTAGTTGCATAAAGTCCCTTGTAGTGATAACTTAAAAAACATGGTACTTTTGAGACTTGTTTGTAGGTATGTTTTTCATATTTCTTGAACTGCTATATGCTGTAATTTCTTTGATTAACTTGTTTAATTTATGTCTTAGAAGCCACAGAAGAAGTTTCTTTGGACAGTCCAGAAAGAGAGCCCATCCTCTCCTCCGAGCCTTCTCCTGCAGTCACTCCTGTCACGCCTACTGCACTCATTGCTCCTAGAATCGAATCCAAGAGCATTTCTGCTCCAGTGATCTTTGATAGATCCAGGGAAGAGGTATGGAGAGATATTTATAATTCTAGGTTAATATGGAAAGAATACTTGTCTATTTCTTACCCAGCACTTCTCTCTTGTTAATTTATTCTTAATCAAAGCCTTTCAGACATTTTAGATGGAAGACTATACTAAGACAGGTGTGGTGGCGCATGTCTATAATCCCAATACTTGGGGAGACAGAGGCAGGAAGCTCTCTGTTAGAAGCTAGCCTGACTCTACAATTCAGTTCTAACCTAGCTAGGGTTGGAGAGTGAGCCCTGGTGTTAAAACACATATACAAAACACACACACACACACACACACACACACAGAGAGAGAGAGAGAGAGAGAGAGAGAGAGAGAGAGAGAGAGAATTCACTGAGATCCTCCTCTTTCCTCTACCTTCCGAGTGCTGGGATTAAAGATGTGCACCACCACCACCCTGATTTGATTTTTGAAATGGTCGGTTTTTCTCTGTAGCTCATGCTGGCCTGGAACTCATAGTATCCCGACTGGCTTACAATTCACAGCAATGCTCCCACCCCCGAACCCTACCACTTAATCTTCTAAAATCAAAGATTTTGAAGCTGGAATGTAGCTCAGTGGTACAGTGCCTCATATGCTCAGGACCCTAGATTTTATTTTATCTCCACAACTACAAACAAACAAACAAACAAACAAACAAAAGACTGATGAGTAAATTGGTGTATTGAACATTTGTGGTCTTATGATTAAGAGTGCTAGCTAGCATCTGTGTATTTTTGCAGCACTGAGGATTGGACCCTGGGGCTCTTGCATGATAGTTAACTGTTTACCTCTGAACTGTATGCTCAGCCCAAGCCTTTATTTTTGAAATGCCTCAAAATTTTAGTTTTAAAAGAAAGAGGTACAGATCAGTTAAAGTTGCTTTCTCATGCCCTAATAATCCTTTTACTTTATAAAAGATAGAATTATTAAGAAGTGTCACATTTGGAAAAGAAAAAAGCATGGTGTGAAGGTTATTTTAAATATAAACATTTAAAATTATTCAACTAGAAACTTGTAACCAGTGTAATCATAATTAAATAATGACTATATACAAATGTGAATAACCTCCAAAATAATACAAAGGGAAAGTAGTAAGATATAAATAAATAAGTACTCACACTGTATGATTCCATGATATGAACATTAAACACAGATAAAATTAGTGAACAGTATATGCAACCTTAGATACCAAGGTTGCAGCTGAGTTGGCAGGGTGACGCGGTTGGGACTGGGAGGCAAGTTGTAAAAGGGTCTTGGGGATGTACTCATTGCCTGCATTTCTCATTTGGGTTCTGGTTATAAAGATGAGTTCATCTTATGAGAGTTTATTGAACTGTCCACTTGGCAGTTAATACATTTTTCTACTATAGAAAGGTGACTTTGAAAAGAAAGATAGTTAGGAAAATATGTTTTTGTTATAGCTTTATATTATTAATATTGCCTTGACATTTTGGAGATTTAAGACTCTGAGATTTATTGTCTTTTGTTTTGTGCTTTTATTAAGTGCTGTGGATAGAATCCTGGCCTTGCTTATGCTAGGCAGCCACATTCCCTCTGAGTGACACACTCCTAGCTGACCTTTCTACAAACTCTTCCTGAAATACTTGGGTTTTGTTTGTTTGGTTGGTTTTTTGTTTTGTTTTTCAACAGACCAGACTGACCTTGAACTGAGGGATTCAGCTGCCCTGAGTCCTGGGATCAAAGGCTTGGATCACCTTGGGCCCAGCTGAAATTCTTTTGTTTGTTTGTAATTTTTTTAAATTTACTTATTGTTATTTTAAGTACATTGGTGTTTTACCTGCATATATGTTTGTGTAAAGGTGTCGGGTCCCCTGGAACTGGAGTTACAGACAGTTGTGAGCCACCATGTGGTGATAGGAATTGAGCCTGGTTTTTCTGGAAGAGCTGCCTGTGCTCTTAACTGCTGAGCCATTTCTCCAGCCCCAAAATGCTTGTTTTTGAATTGCCTTCAAAAAGACGTCTCTGTAGTCCAGTCAAGTTATTTTTTTTCCCATTTGTTGATTTTGAAAATGAGTTTTACAGGATCTTTATTGTCTTAGAAAAAAATTTTTTATTAGATTATTACAGAAAGCATTGTGTTAAAGTTGGTTTTAGATATAATTTCTATAAGTATGTAAGTTACTATTGGTACAAGGAATGGGTTCTTTTTAGTTATTCAGGATTGGAAATTACGGGGCAGGGGCTGGGACTGGGGTAATGACTTAGATAATGTGTGTGTGGTTCGGATACCCTGATGGACATAAATGCCAAGTGGATGTGGACAGCTGTCCTGCAATCCCAGTATTAGAGAGGGAGTAAGATAGCTAACTAGAGTAGCCAAACTGTGCGGGAGGGAAGCTAAATAAAGTAAGGCAATGAGCATCTATCTAAATCTAAAGATTCCATTTATCAGCTGGGTGTGGTGGAGCACACCTGCAATCCCAGCACACAGGAGGTAGAGGCAGGAGGAGTAAGAGATTCCATAATGAGCAACAATAACAACAGTACAAAATCCACAATATTTAAAAAATCACATTTCTTTTTTTCCTTTTTAAAAAGTTTTCTGTCATTTTTTCTATACATCTATTGAGTTAAGACAAAAATTCCTGTTCTCCAAATGATCTTTATTATTTTAGAGTTTTGTTTGTTCGCAGTCAGCATATATGAAAGCTTCTGTTTTGAAATTATTGTCATAAAACTCTAGTAGACATAATTAGTAAAAACTAGTTGTTGGCATTGTGACAGTAATATAAGTTGGAATTTTAAAATTTTGTATATTTTGAAAATTTTATACATGAGTGCTGTATTTTATGACTGTCCACTGGGTATTAGATCACCCATTAGTGGGGTCATCCCTAGAAAAAAAACAGATTCTCCCTCTCTGGGCAGCCAGTGTTGCCTGTAACTCTTCCTCTATGGGTAGGAGCTTGTGAAATGTCTCCCACCTACACATTGGCTTATCGGTTGGTGTTATCATATGTCTTGTTGAGGCAACCATATTCCTGAGGTTTCGTGGGTGTAGCTTTACCATCATGCCTAAAAGACAATACTCAGCAGTGGGCTTGCTGGTCATCTGGCTCTTACAATCTTTCTGCCCCCACTTTCATGATTTTCCCTGAGACTTAGATGTAGGAGTTATGTTGGGCTCTATCAGTTGGGCATGTGGCAGTCTCTCATTCTCTATATGTTGACTAGCTGTGTCTCTATCATAGTCTCTGACCTTTGCAAAAAAAAAAAAAAAAAAAGAAGAAGTTTCTATGTTGTTGGGTAAAAGTTACACCTATTTGTGGGTATAAGGATAAGTATTTCCAATATGATTAGAAATTATATTGGTTTAGAGAAATGACAGAAGTAGGCTCTCTTTAGGGCACAGGACCTTTGTAGACACAGATAGCCAGCCAGAACTGCAGTACTAGGCATAACTTCCCTCCTGTTGACAGGGTCATGCATCCAGTTAGACAGCTGCTGGTTACCTTCAAGAGAAATGGAATTTTTTAACATGAAAATATGCTTTTATAGATTGAAGAAGAAGCAAATGGAGATATTTTTGATATAGAAATTGGTGTGTCAGATCCAGAAAAAGTTGGTGAGTTATTATTTTTTGTACTTGTTTTGATTAGCTTGTTAGATCCTATAGTTTTCCACTTAAGTATATGGTTACAGTGTTTTTTCTTTAAAATTTTTTTGTGACTTTTATTTTAAAACATTTAACTCAATTAATTTATTTTGGTGGTACTAAGAATTAAACCCAGGGTCTTACACACACTGGGCAAACAGTCTACCTTTTACCTCCTCCAGCCCAGCATTTGAATTGTAATAATATTCTTTGGCTTTTTCTTTATAGGTGATGGCATGAATGCTTACATGGCATATAGAGTAACAACAAAGGTGAGCTTTTGCTTCTTCAATGAAATGTTGGCCCCCTCCCTCTGTATAGTAGAGAGGATGTGCGTGTAAGGAGGAGCATATGCAGGAAGTGACCTAACATAGACCGGGAGGTTAGGCATGAGCAAAGGAGTTCTAAAGTGAGACAGAGATGAGGGAATGGGAAGAAGCAGGATACTGCTTCCAGACAAAAAGATCTGCTGTGTAAAAGCCCAGAGTCGAGGCATTTTGCTTTCTAGAGTCTCATCTGTGACTCTGACTGAATTCACATTGTGGATTTTGAGTATTTCATCCTTAGCATACAGGAGAGCTGTTAGAGAGGATCAGACATGGGACTATGAGATTTTTGTTAGGACAGCTCTGTCTTAACTCAGTGTGAATTGGAGGATCCAGCTGGATGGTGGTGGTGCGCACCTTTTAATCCCAGCACTTGGGAGGCAGAGGCAGGTGAATCTCTGTGAGTTTGAGGCTAGCCTGATCTACAGAGCTAGTTCCAGCACAACTAAAGGTACACAGAGAAACCCTGTCTCAAAAAACCAAAAAAAAAAAAAAAAAAGAAAGAAAGAAAGAAAAAGGAAAAAAAAGAATTGGAGGATCCAAGTACAGATCAAGATTTCCAGTTAAAGATCATGACAGTTATTAAAGGGTTAAGTCTTGAAACAGAAAGCAAGTCTGTCCAAATGATCTTAGCTTTATACTGAGGGGGTAGCTCAGCTAGTTAGAGTACCTGCCTAACATGCATGAAGCCCTGGGTTCATTCACCAATATACAGAAAAAAAGGGAAGTGGTGAACACCTGTGATTTCAGTACTCAGGAGGTAGGTAGGGGCAGGAGGAGCAGAAAGAAGTTCATAGTGAGTGCTAAGCCAGCTTGAGACACACAAACAGCTGCAGCAGGGGAGGGCATTGATACTTAATACTGAAAAAACAGTTTTGAAAGTAATCAACATGAATGCTCTTTAATTATGTAGGTGGGACAATCAATAATGTTTGAGTATAAGGCATGAGGAAGATATTTATTTATGATATAGGAACTTTGTAGTTTGAGGTGGCATAAGTTTTGTTAATTGATGAAACAAATGTTATGGTTTCAGGCTATGTTGCAAGCACCTGCAAATAGCAGTAAATAGTAGAGGAAAGTGCTGTCCTTAGGGGACTCTTACTCTAACAGGGAAAATTCAGTGAGCTTTGTGTGGAGCTGCCTCCACACAAATGGTCTGGGCCATGGAGAAATATTGAAGAATCAGTAGCCTATTCATCATGAGTTCAAAGCTAGCCTAGGTGCTGTATAAACCTGTCTCAAACCAAAATGGGGAAAATCATTAGCTAAAGTATGGTAGAGAAGGTGTTATAGGTCAAACATAGAATAAAGCAAGTGTTTTCTAACTTTTTATATTACTTTTAAAAAACTATGTCTTGAGCCCTAAATTTTAGTTTAGTTGTTGTTGTTGTCTTTAAGCCACACTACGTACTCTGTATTCGTTTTCAAAATAGAGCAGACTGTTCATGTAGTTATGTGCAGCATTAATTTGTAAATGATCGCTTTCTGTTAACAGTGTGAAATACCTGTTCTTCATTTGTAGACTTCCCTTTCCATGTTCAGTAAGAGTGAATTTTCAGTCAAAAGAAGATTCAGTGACTTTCTTGGTTTGCATAGCAAATTAGCAAGCAAATATTTACATGTTGGTTACATTGTGCCACCAGCTCCAGAAAAGAGTATAGTAGGTAAGCATAAGTCAGAACATTTCTTTTTACTGTTCCTAATTCAATTTTAGCTGTCATGGTTTATTAATCACTTAATCATCCCTAATCAGGGCTCCTGTCTAGAGGTGCAGGTTTATATGTGCTGTGATGCTCCTGTGTATTCTTTTTTTGTTGTTTTGTTTTTTGAGACAGGGATTCTCTGTAGCTTTGGAGCCTGTCCTGGAACTAGCTCTTGTAGACCAGGCTGGCCTCAAACTCACAGAGATCCACCTGCCTCTGCCTCCCAAGTACTGAGATTAAAGGTGTGTGCCACCACCGCCTGGCTTCCTGTGTATTCTTGAAGAATGTGTAGATTGCAATTTTAGTTTATAACATATAAATACCTGGTTGTTGAATATTTGGTTGAAATTGATTAAATTGAAGGAGGTTAGAAGCTTAACTTTCTAGGGTCGTTAGAATACCAATTTACTGAGTCCTTTTCTAGTGATATTTAATGTTGTTAAGATGTTAGTGTTTTTGTCTAAGAGCTAGGTTTTGTTTGGTGTTCAGCTATATATTGTCCAAAGAAAAGTTCAATTTAACCTTGCTCTTTTAAAAGCTATTTAAATTCATCTTAGCTTCTTGAGTTCCCAGCCAGGTTTAGTGAGATTCTGCCTGAAATAAAACAAACAAACAAACAAAAAATTTCTACTCTGATCACCAGTAAGGGCTTAGTTAACAAAATTCAAAATTTTTAAAAGAAGCAGAAAGCCTTCATTTCGTGTACTATAACTTTTTGCTACTGTACTTACTATGTGTGTTGAGGTGTCACTCTTGCCACCATATGCATATGGAGGTCAGGACAGTTTATGGAAGTTGGTGCTCTCCTTCTGTGTGGATCTCTGGGAGTGAACTCAAACTAGTCAGGTTTGGCAGCAAGCATCTTCATACACTGAGCCATCTCACTGGCCCCCATTGTTCCACTTTTAAGACTTTGGTTTTGACTGGGTGGTGTTGATGCTCGCCCTTAATCCCAACACTTGGGAGGCAGAGGCAAAGGCAGGCGGATCTCTGTGAGTTCGAGGCCAGCCTGGACTACAGAGCAAGTTCTAGTACAGACTCCAAAGCTACACAGTCTCAACAAACAAACAAAAATTTATATCTTAAAATTTGTACGTTATTATCAGTCTGTTTAAGTCCTATATTTTTAATGACCCCCATTTTAATTTTCTTTACATTCAACATTATTACTCTGAAATATATTTAAAATGAATTTTGCTGATCGTTAGTTTTATTAAATGTTTGGCTTGAAAATTCATTTTATAATTTATAATTTTGAAACTTGATGCCTTCAAATGAATTTGTTATTTGTTATATCCTTTTCTTGACCCTTAAATACAAAACTTTCTGGGTTAGGCTTTTTTTCAAGATAGGTCCTCACTGTGTAGCCCCAGTTATCTTATAACTCTGTAGACCAGGCTGGTCTCAAATTCGCAGATCCTCCTGCCTCTGCCTCTGGAGTGCTGGGATTAAAAGCTTCCCCACCCTTGGATTAGTTGTTTTGTGATGGGGACTGAGCTCAGGGACTTCAGCATGCTAGGTGCACAACACTACCAAATTTTCTTTAAAAAAATAATAAAATAAAAAATACTGTATTGTTTTAGAAGTGTCAAATATATTTAAAATGGGTTGAGCTCCTGATCTTCCTATACTTCCCAAGTGTTCAAATTATAGATGTGGATCATCATGCTTGCTTGCTTGCTTCCTTCTTTCTCTCCCTCCCTCCCTTCCTTCCTTTTCTTTCTTTCTTTTGAGACAGAGTCTTACTGTGTAGCCTATACTAGCCTGAAACTCACAGTCCACTTATCTCATTCTCTCAAGTGCTGGGACTATAGGCATCTGCTACCACACTTGTGTAGGTGTATAGATTTTTAAAGTACTATGTATCTTTTACTGAGATGGCAGAGTACAAAGAGTAGCTTTCTGGGAAGCTGTAACTGCCACTGAAATGAAACTGCCTTAGCGTATGACTTACCACTTTTAGCAGGACTTCAACTGAATTAAAAACACGAGTCTTTCTACACTATTGGAAAAGGAGCAGCCAGACACAAACATGCATCTTTATAACACCAGCACTGGGGGGACTTAAGCAGGATGAGTAGTTGAGACCTTGGTTCTATGGAACAAAGACAAAATGACAAAAACAAGCCGAATGTTGGTGGCGCACACCTTTAATAATCCTAGCACTCAGGAGGCAGAGGCAGGCAGATCTCTGTGAGTTGGAGGCCAATCTGGTCTACAGAGTGAGTTCCAGTACAGCCAGAGCTACACAGAGAAACTCTGTCTCCAAAACAAAACAAAAAACCAAACAAAAAAAGACAAACAGCAGAACTAGTCATGACAAATAGGAACATGCTAGTTCTGAAGCAGGGAAAGCATTTAGCAAATTCATCAATTATATCTAACACATTTTATCCTTCCATAAAGACTTTTATTGACATTAATTAGCTTAGTTTTTTTTAAACTCCCCATTTTATGTGTTGAAATGTAGGCCTGGGGCCTAAGGAGACGACTCAGCAAAGTACTTGCCACTTCTGTAAAAAGCTGGAGTTTGCTTCCCAGGACCATGTTAGGTGTCTCACAACTGCATTTAACTTCAGTTCCAGAGGATCTGCTGTCCTCATCTGGCCTCTGCAATACCTATATGCATGTGTACATAATGAAATACACACATACACAGAAGTAAATAATGAAGTCATTTTAAAAAAGAAATGTAGGGAAAAGAATCAAGTTGGGGATCTAGGCCAGAAGTAGAGTTCTTGTTTAGCATTCATAAGACTTTGGGTTCAAGTCCAGGTCTAGGGAGAAAATAATCTTGGAATATCAAAACCATTGTTTTTAAAGTGTGAAATACCACAAATAATGAAATTTTTATATAAGCTTTTCTATAAACTTATTGTGTGAGTTCAAACCCCATAAATATAAGTCATGATGTACTTTGTTTACATGTTCCTGCCATAGATATTTATTCATTAGAGATATTAATACATCATGAGATGTAATTCTTCAAAATGGGTTTCTCTTTAAATAAGATCCCAGTTACCAACATATTACACATTATTATATAGTTAAAAGTATATTTTGATTATGAAGATATTATGGCCTGTTTTATAATAATCTAAAAAAATTCTTACAAATTTCTTCCAACTTTTTCAAAGGTATGACCAAGGTCAAAGTAGGTAAAGAAGACTCATCATCCACTGAGTTTGTAGAGAAACGACGAGCGGCACTGGAGAGGTAATTCCAAGTCATAGTACCTCATGCTTTATAGTCTGACAGTACAACTCCTGTTTCTGGATCTTCTTACAAGCAGGAAAATGTTAGGATTAGATCATAATCACCAAGAGCACTAACAATATGACTGTAGTTATAAGAGGGAAACATGGAAGCTGTGCTTGCAGGACTTGATAGAATGTTTGAGGAAGCTGTGTGTGGTGTACACTCCTGCAATCCCAGTATTCAATAAACTGGCAGAAGGACTTTCAGCCCGGGCCTGTCCTGGGCTACATAGAAAGACCCAGTTATTTGTATAAATCTGTTTTTAAAAATTAGATTTATTTTAATGTGTTTGAGTGCTTTGCCTCGTTGTAAACATATTCACCACATGCAGGCTTGGTGCCTGTGGTGTTTAGAAGAGTGGGTCGAACCTCCTGAAACTGGAGTTACAGATGGTTGTGAACCACCATGTGGCTGCTGGGAACCAGACCTGAATCTTCTCCAAGAAAAGCAACTGTTTATAATTACTAAGCCATCTCTCCATTCCTAAGTTATTTTTTTATTTGAATAATTATTTGGTATAAGCACTCTTAAACAGTGAAAACTGCATGTGTGTGCCCTCTCATTTTTGTGTACTTGATTTTGACTTTAATGGATAGCAATGTTACATTTTGTTTATTCATTATGTAATTAGGGGCTAATTATAAATATGTTATATCTCCCTTTCGAGTATATAACTTTATATGTCCTATAGATTTAAAGACTTGCTTTCTTCTTTCCTCTTTGAGACAAGTTCTCACTGTGCAGTCTGGCTGGCCTTGAACATAGAGATCAGCCTGCCTCTGCTTCCTACAGTACTAGGATCAAAGGCATACACTGCCATATCTGGCTTAAAACTTATCTTTTTAATGGCAGACTAGAATATTTCTACTCCCAACTTAACATGCAGCCTGCCCGCCCTCCCTCCCTCCCTTCTTCTCTCCCTCCTTCCCCTCTCTCACTCCTCCTCCTCCTCCCTCCCTCTCTCTCGGTTTTTCAAGACAGAATTTCTCAGTAACAGCCATAGCTGTGCTGGAACTAGCTCTATAGACCAGGCTGACCTTGGACTCACAGAGGTCTGCCTGCCTCTACCCGTATAGTCCTCTCTTCTTGTGCTGAAATGTGAAAACAAAAGCGAGACTATCAGAAGTCAACTTTACAGTACAACAAACCTTTTTCTGTTTGCTCTGTTTTTTGTAGGTAGGGTCTTAATATGTATTTTTTGCTGTCCTGTAATTCACTCTGTAGACAAGGCAAGTCCTAACTCAGAGGTCTGCCTGCCTCTGCCTCCCAAGTGCTGGCATCAAAGGTGTGCACCACTACACCCTTTGAGGAAGGTTAAAAAGTTTGGATGACAAGCTGACTCAGAAACTAAGACTTGTGCCAAGGACGTGGTATTTGATGCTTCAGTATCTTTCTAGTTTGACTGTACCATATAGTCCATTAGGGTAGCTTCATACAATACAAAGTATCTTTTAATTTCAGTAGTTCCTTAAAAGTCTATCTAAAAATTACACTACTAAAAATCACAATAATAAAAATATTTTTTATATAAAACTAGAAAGAAAAAATAGTTAAGTATCTAAACACCCCCCATACTCAGTAAAGTAAGCACAGATTACTTTTATTAAGAGTATATTAGGGCCTGGTGGTGGTACATTGCCTTTAATCCCAGCACTTGGGAGGTAAAGAGAGGTGGAACTCTGTGAGTTCGACACCAGCCTGGTCTACAAGAGCTAGTTCCAGGACAGGCACCAAAGCTATACAGAGAAACCCTGTCTCAAAAAAACAAAAACAAACAAACAAAAGAGTATATTAGGTAGGCATTGTGACTCATCTGTAATTTTACCTGGGAGTCTAAATGAGGCATAAAACAGACGAACAAAAATGCAAAAGGCAAGCAAGCATATTTTAAGCCAGACCAACACAGGTAAAGACATTCAGAGAGGTATGATTTAGAATGGCTTTCCACTTGAAATCTGTCCTGTACTATCATATTTATGTATTAAGTTACTTTAGCAAGAAGTAACTTAAGCATATGTTATCTTTAAATGAACTGGTTAGAATCAGTGTTCATTTCAAGCACCTAAAAAAACTCCATTTGCAAAAAAAAAAAAGATTATGATGGATTGAGTAATCCTACTCTTTCACTTCAAGGAATTTGGAGGTAGGTCACTGTCCAGGGTGATCTGATTCACCAGGAAGTTCTGTTGTTCTGCGAAGCCTGGACTCTTCAATCTAGTGACTAGCAAGAATTTATGTATAGCATAAATTCTTTAAAACACAACTTGGGCTGGATGTAGTTTCAAAAGCCTGTAATCTCTGCACCTGGGAGGTAGAGGGAAAAGGATCAAGAGTTCAAGGTTATCCTCAGTTACATAGAGAGTTTGAGGCCAGCCTGGGCTACATGAGACAGTTTCAAAAGCAAGCAAAACTCCCCTACAGCAGATTGCACAATCCCTAATTTCATTCTGTAAAAACCAAAGTTCTTATCATTGACAACAACTTCCTATCTGACCCCCACTGCTCATTCATTTTGTTGTTTCCTGTGTTTTTTCCAATCTTTTTGATCACCCACTTTGCTCTAGGTCACAATGACCCTTTTGTTTTGAGTGAGGCATTTCTACTTGTTACTCACCTAAATCTCATTATCCTTTCAAGTATAAATGTTCAAGAAAAGCGTGTTCTGACAACTGGCTTCATTGTAACCTAGCTAAATTGCCATGGTCACATTTTATGTACTTGGTTCTATGTGCCCTATTCTTTCTTCTTTTCTCACAGGACTTGCCATTTTGTCCCATATTATATATTACATAATTTACGTGATTGCTAGCTACATGTCTAATATATCATCTGTCTTCTAGTAACAACTGTAAAGTCAGTGAAGGAAGAGATACTAATAACTTTTGTATGCTGATAGATTCTATGACCTCAGAATAAGATATGTAGCCAGTGCTCAGCAAATGTCTGTTCAGTAAACAGGTGACCATCATCTAACACCCAGACTCCGCTTTTCTAGTCTCTCATTTTGTTGGAATTGAATTTAAAGTAAGAGAAATTATTTTTAACTATTCATCTTAAGGATTTTAGGCAGCCTCCTTTGTTTTGTCTTCACATGCAAATAGAAACTAGAAAGCTCAAATGATTCTTCTCAATTCACTCTGCTTAAAGCAGATCTGAGTTGCTGCTGGCCTCCTCTTAGGAGTGTGATGCTGGCATCAACTTCAGTTGCCCTTTATACTTAAATTCCTTTAGCGAGCTTTCCTGGTTTTCTTTCTCTTATACTCTTTTTCTGTTTGTATGTTTCATTTCTTTTCCCTTGAACTGGGGCCTCACCATGCCATCCCTGAGTTGGCATGTATTTATCGATGTTTGTTGTTTAAACCCTGTTCTTAATTTTAACTGTGTAAAAAAACCACAGTATCTTTTATTTACTTATTTGCTTCCCTCTGTCCCTTAAGAAAAAAAGTTTTATGTTTCTTTCTCAAATATTATTTTCTGAAATTGATCCCCCAGAAAGCTTCCATGTGCCAGGATAAAAATGAGATCCACTGTCAACTGAATTTTCTAACAGAATTTACCAAAGTTAAAGTGTCTTTAATCTCAGCACTCACAGGAATGTCTCTATGAGTTCAAGGATAGTCTAGTCTACCTATCAAATTCAAGGCCAGCCAACGCTATCTATGTAGTGAGACCCTATCTCAAAATATAAAACAAAAAGTTAGATTTTATAAGACTTGTATATTATATTATAGTGTCAGTTTGATACTATTCAGTGATTCCTAAAGGAATCTGTGTGCTGGTGAGATGCTCAGCAGGTAAAGGTAGTGGCTCCCACGCCTGACAACCTGAGACTGCTCTTCAGAAGTCACATGGTAGAGGAAAACAGTGACTCCTGAAAGTCCTCTGGTCTTTGCACCTGCCCCACAAATGACTTCCTTTTTTGTTTGTTTGTTTGTTATTTCAAGACAGGGTTTCTCTGTAGCTTTGGTGCTCTTGTAGACCAGGCTGGCCTTGAACTCACAGAGATCCACCTGCTTCTGCCTCCTGAGTGCTGAGATTAAAGGCGTGTGGTGCCACTACCGCCGGCCACAAATGACTTCTTTAAAGGACAAAGTGCGTATATATTTCAAACTTAATTATGTATTAGCCTTTTATTAGTGTTTGAGGCTTGTAATCTATAAAATGTGCTGTGGAAAGTTGTTTAAGGGTATAAGTAGTGGTAGGTACCCTTTTTTTAGGCTTAAAATATAGGATGTTTGTCACTTTCCTTTCTTTCTGAGACAGGGTCTTACTATGTAGACCAGGCTGGCCAGTTGGCCACTTTCGAAATGATGGGGACTCACACATGCTAACACACTTGGCCGGAATGCTTTGTAGAGATTGAGTGTTATATTGTGTGTGAGCACCTACTGTTTTCCAGCACTTTCACTAACAGTCTCTACAAACTGCTTCATGCCATATGACATCTAAACTGAATAACTTATCCATCACGTTAGGAGAATTTCATTATTAAAATTCTGAACCTTACTTATTATTTAATAACTACCAACATTTAAAATTTTAACTCAAGGTTTCCTTTATTTTTATTTATTTATATATATTTTTTTCATTTTTCAAGATAGGGTTTCTCTGTAACTTTGGAGCCTGCCCTGGAACTAACTCTTATAGAACAGGCTGGCCTCGAACTCACAGAGATCTGCCTGCCTCTGTCACCCAAATGCTGGGATGAAAGGCGTGAGCCACCACCACCTGGCTGCAGCAAGTACTCTTCACCTTTGAGTTCTCTCAAGTCCCTTTGCTCATCTTTTGAAAGTGGGGACAGAATAGATAATGTATCCACTTCTCACTGACATTTCAGCTGTAGAAGGAGGTATGAGCTTGTGTAGCAGTTTTCCTCCGGGCCAAGTTAACGTTTCCAGCTGTAATTTTAGAGAATGAAGTTAACAGTTAACATACCCTGTGTGTATTTTCTTCTCAACAAGCGTAATTACTACTATCTCCAAATTAGGAAATTGCCTATCAATAGTTCTGCTTGTTGGTAGATTTAAACGGCAATTGGCTTTTGGTCCTTGGTTCTGATTTGATGAAGACTAAATTTTATATTACAGAAATAGAGCAAGTTCCAGGACAGGCTACAGAGAAAACCTGTGTTGAGGTGGGGGGCGTACTTGCTCTTGCAGAGGACATGGGTTTGTTCCTACTAACCACATGGTGGCTCACACCTGCATGAGTCCAGCTCTGGCCTCCATGGGTATCAGGCGTATATGTGGCACATGTAGGCACTTCCACATACACATAAACTAAAAAAATTTTTAAAAAATGGACAAAACCTTTTTATTCTACTTCTTTAAAGTTCTTTTCTCTGAGTTAGGGTCTTATATGTAGATCTAGCTGGTTTAGAACTTGCTCTGTGGACCAGTCTAGCCTCAGACTCACAGAGATTCACCTGCCTCTGGGTGAATTCTGGGATTCTGGTATACACCACCACTGCCCTATTCAATTTGTGTAAAATTCTAGATAAATAGGGAGTGCAAACTAACAAGAGATACATTGAAGATACCTTCTACCTGGATATTTTTATTCTTTTGTTGAAACTCAAATTTAAAATTGCACTAAAACTGGATCAATTCTACTCTTAAATATAGGTATCTTCAGAGAACAGTGAAGCATCCAACCTTGCTTCAGGATCCTGACTTAAGGCAGTTCTTGGAAAGCTCAGAGGTATTTCTCGTTTAAATTGTCTCTCTAATTAGGTATTGTCATAACTAATCGAAGATTAGCCCTTCAGTAAATGATTCGTTCAGTCAAAACAGTGAGACCATGTTTTGGAACTTCTGGTTTTGCTTAACTAAATCACCAGCAAATAATTCCTTTTAGTGATAGAGGATGATGATCAGATCCTTTTTGAAAAATTTAAACTTGATTTAATTAAATAGATTATACATAATTTTGCTGTCACTGCTTGGGATTTAAAAAAAAAAAAAACTTTGCTTAAGTCCAAGAATTTTCTAGAAACTCACAAGCACAGCCCTACCAGCATGGGGAGATTTTTCTCAAGAGCATCTTTGCTCACCAGCAGCTTGTTTGTGCTTGCAGACAGGTGGCCAGCGTTAGAGCCTGGCAATTTCTTAATGTATTTTGACAAACAGCGTTTGTTCTATCTAAATGTAAACGTGCAGAAGAAAAGCAATGGAAAGTCTATTTTTTAAGTTTTCCTTTGAGAATGTACAAGTAGTGCATTTGAGAAATTAGATCTCACTGTTGAAATGTATGAGAGTGAAGAAAATATAGCCTCTTTTCTCTTTTCTTCTCTCTCTCTTCTTTATTTTGGGAGGGGGATCCCTTTTGTGCCCAGTTAAATCTCTAGGCTTTTAACCGGTTTGTTTGCCCTTATTTGTCATTCAATTCCAGCTGCCGAGAGCAGTTAATACACAGGCTCTGAGTGGAGCAGGAATATTGAGGATGGTGAACAAGGCTGCCGACGCTGTCAACAAAATGACAATCAAGATGAATGAATCGGATGCAGTAAGAGCTGATTTTTCGACTTGAATAATGAAATGAATTAATGAGCCCAACAATTGCATTTTAAAGCTGTACAAGCAGAAAATAGGATATTAATTTGCTTATTGAGTTCAGTTCTCAGCTACATCATTTGACCACCATGGTTATATACGGCTAATTTACCGTTCTAAAACAAGAAAGGTAGCTTGCTATTGGTAACCTAATTTACAATAGTTCGTTCGTCTTAAATTAGCTCCATTTTTCATTTTTTTTTTCTTAGTGGTTTGAGGAAAAGCAACAACAATTTGAGAATCTTGACCAGCAACTTCGGAAACTTCATGCCAGTGTTGAAGCCTTGGTTTGTCATAGAAAAGGTCGGTGTGCCTTGTTAAAGTGAATACTCAGCTGTGATTCTGGGAAGGATAAAGCAGTGGTTTGTGCTGGGTGTGGTGCATTAGGAGACAGAAGCAGGACTGCCATGAGTACATAGTGATGCTAGTCCAGAGTACATAGTGAGACTGTCTCAAGACCAGAAGAAAGAGTATTTTGTTTCAATATCATTTAAAACTTTCTGCTGTATTTTGATCTAACTTCTAGTTTAAATTAGAAAAATCAAAAGCTTATAAAACTTTTAATTTCAAATTATTATTTATTTAGCTCTTGATACATTTATAATTTAATAGATAAAATTGTTTCATTAGTAACTGATTATAATATAAATTTGAGTTTCTAAAATTTATTTATAGGACTCAGATTTATAAAATTTATATATATAAAATTTATAGGACTCAGATTATAGCTCAGTGGTGGTAGAGTGCTTGTCTAGCATGCATGAGACCCTGTGTTCAATTCTCTGAACCAAGGTGGGGAAAATTTAAAATTGGTATTTACGGATTTTCTTGAAAATATATTGTGCCTCTATTTCTTAAAAAATTCCATGAATTATTTTGCTTATGTTTTCATAGTATTTAGGGACTGGAGATGGCCCCTACTTGGTAGTGCTTGTTGAACACACAGAAGGCCTTGGGTTTGAGCTCCAGTACTACATAAACCAGGCAGTCTGGAGTTCCGGGCAAGCCTCTCAATGTGAAGTTCAGGGTCAGCCTGGGCTAGAGACAGACAAAAATTAAGAAGTTCATGCTTTTTTAATGTTTTTTTTTTTAACCCACAAATTTTTGGGGGGTTGAATATTTGTTTGTTTGACTTTGGGGGTAGGGATATTTTTACTGTCCAAGACTCTTTGGTTTTTCGAGACTGGGTTTCTCATTGAAACAGTCCTGGCTATCCCGGAACCAGGCTGGCCTCAAACCCTTAGAGATCGGCCTGACTCTGCCTCCCGAGTGCTGGGGTTAAAGGTGTGCTCCACCACCACTGCCCAGTCTAAGACTCTTCATAATGGTTGTCTGAAATATTTACTATGTGACAATGTTTAATAGATTTCATTAAGTAGCAGATTACTTGTATGATAAATATTTTTCTAAGATTTATTTATTTTTATTTTATGTGCATTGGTGTTTTGCCTGCAAGTATATTTGTGTGAGGGTGCCAGATCCCCTGGAACTGGAGTTACAGACAGTTGTGACCTGCCATGTGGGTGCTGGGAATTGAACCTGGGTCCTCTGGAAGAGCAACCAGTCCTCTTAACTGCTGAACCATTTCTCCAGCCCCCGTATGATGATTATTTCTATATAATAGTTTGTTGTAGCTTTACTGTTTGTATTATGTATCTCTTTGGAAGTGGACTGTATTTTTTTAATATTTATTATGTATACAATATTCTTTCTGCGTGTATGCCTGCAGGCCAGAAGAGGGCACCATACCTCATTACAGATGGTTGTGAGCCACCATGTGGTTGCTGGGAATGGAACTCAGGACCTTTGGAAGAGCAGGCAATGCTGTTAACCACTGAGCCATCTCTCCAGCCCCGTGAACTGTATTTTTAAAAAAGAAATTACAGAGTAATAGAACAGTTTTCAGAAAATGTAATTCTTAGTCATTATCAGTGGCCTTTAAACATCTAATTTTTCATTTGAAAAGGCTTGAAATGGTTATATTAAAAATAATCTAGAAATTGTGATTGGAGAAATTATGTGTTTGAGGCCAGCCAGGACTAAATAATGAGTTCCAGGCTAGTCTTTGTCTCAGAAAAAAAAAAGTTAGCGTCATTGCAAAACAAATAACAAAAAATGACTTAATTTGATATAAATTGAATTGTGTTTACAAGTTTACCTTGTTTTTCTTTCTTGGTAGATAAGATTCTCATTAAAAACTGAGACATTATTTTCAATGCCAAATGTTTAAATGCCAAGGAATATAGTATAATTTAATTGTGATCTTTTAAAGAAGTATTATTCTTAATTATATGTACTTGTATGTGCCAGTGTGTGAGTTTACAAACTTGGGTTCTCCAGAACAGCAGTATAAACTCTTAACCTTGGAGCCTTCTCTCCAGCCTCTTTAATTTTTATCTTCATGCTTCTTATATTAGAAACACACCTCTTTAACAGAGTGCAGAAGACAATAAATGAGCACTTTGGGGTCAAAAGGGGAGGCAGATTATTAAAATAATTCAAGAATTAGACACAGTTCACCATCTGAAGACATAAGCTATGATTCTTTTTTGGAGGGTTGTGGAGCTATGCTGGGACTGGATGTAAACACAGGCTTGTTCATGCTGGGTGGGTGCTCTGCAGCTGCGACTCCATACAGCACCGGTGCTTCTACTAGCATCTGTACCCGAAGCACTTATTGACTGTTTCATATTAATTTAAATATTACTAAATTCATGAATATAGTACAATTTTACTAACAAATACTAAATGCTTTTTTATTTAAATTTCAGAACTTTCAGCCAACACAGCTGCCTTTGCTAAGAGTGCTGCCATGCTAGGTAATTCTGAGGATCACACTGCCCTGTCTAGAGCCTTGTCTCAGCTTGCAGAGGTCGAGGAAAAGATAGACCAGTTGCATCAAGAACAAGCTTTTGCCGACTTTTACATGTTCTCAGAACTTCTTAGTGACTACATTCGGCTCATTGCTGCAGTGAAAGTAAGCCCTATTCTACAAGCTTTCTTACACTCTTTTGCTAAAGCCTTTTGCTTTAGAAGTAATTTAGTCTAGACACAGTATGATTGTCTGTAATAGTAATACCTGGGCCAGGCTAGTAAATTCTTGGCCATCCAGATCACACAGCAAGTGCAAGTACGTGGGTGAGTATGCGTGCATACACACACAGACAGTTGGTTTTCTATTAGATACAAGTGTGCAAATATACTGTTCACTACATAAAAAATAACTTCAAAAATGAGTACTTGTAATTTAACATTTTCTTCTCTTATGACATGGATAGTAAAATAAAACAGTTTTTAAGAAGTCTAAGGACGACTGGACAGATGGCTCAGCAATTATGAGCATTGGCTGCTGTTCCAGAGGACCTGGGTTCAATTCCCAGCACTTAGATGGCTCACAACTGTCTTTAACTCCAGTTCCAAGGTTTCTGACACCCTCACACACACATGAAGGCAAAACACCAGTGAACATTGGAAAAAAATAGGACTGGAGAGATGCCTCAGCCATTAAAGGCTAGGCTCACAACCAAAAATATAAGAAGTTTACGGAATGCCAAATAAGAAGTGAAAACAGTATATATTTATTTACATAGTCATATTCAAATTATTCAAATTTTAACTATTTGCATTAATTTGCTCATTCTAGAAGTAACTGCAGCTGCCTGCCAGGTCTGTTTTCATTGGTAAAGTTTGCTAGGCATTTAGAAATAGGATAAAAGCCAGGCGGTGGCGATGCCATTAATCAGAGACAGACAGACAGACTTCTGTGAGTTCAAGGCCAGTCTGGTCTACAACACCAGAACTGTCTTGGTGGGTGGGGGAGGGGAGAAATAGGATAAAAGTAGGAGTGATTATTGTCTTAATGGTTCAGGAGGTCTTTAGCATGAATTTGGACAATAAAAGGATTTTCTGTCTGTGTACTCAAATATATAGTCCTGTATTTATAGATGAAATGAGACTAAATTAGACCATAACTCACATGTTAAAGAAACCTATTTCTGAGTGGTTGCAGAAGGAATCTAGTTAGAAATTGGTGCTCTGCAAATGCCTTCAGTATTTATACCCTCAAACTGAGCTATCAGCCTGTCAGCATTCTTCAGAAGAGATTTTGTAATGTTATAATGTCCTTGGGTTACTGTTATGGTTGAAAGTGATAATGAGGGAAATTCAGCTTACCCTTTGCATTTCCTTGAATTCAAATATTTTAGAGAACTAATGAGACCATTCTTTCTTGTGCAAACTGTGTCCATCTATGGAGAGAAAAGGTAGCTTTTATTTTTGTTTTATCTTTTTAAAAATTATTTTTATTTAATTTTATTTTATGTTATGAAGGTGTCAGATCTCTTAGAGGAGTTACAGACAGTTGTGAGCTGCCATGCGGGTGCTAGAAATTGAACGTGGGTCCCCTGAAAGGGCAGCTGGTACTCTTAACCACTAAGTCATCTCTCCAGCCTGGCAGCTTTTATTTTTAACCTTATCTCGGCCTGATTTTCAAGACCTGGTAACTTTTTATAGTTTTTGTGTGTATTGTGTGGCCAAGACTGGCCTTGATCTCCTGATCCTTGTGCCTGGACCTCCCAACTGCCCAGATTACAAGCAAGCATGCACCATCAGGTGATGATTCCCATTTCTGTTTCATCTGTTGATTGTCTCTAGAGAGATGTGAGAGCTGTTATTTAAAACAAACAGTCACAAAGATAAGGGCTGGAGGGATGGTTCTCAGTTAGAGCACTTGTGGAGGAGCTGAGCTCAGTGCCTAGCACCTCCGGTGGCGGCTCACAGCTGCCTGCTTCACATCCAGCTTCAAGGGGTCAGGTGCTCTTACACATGAACCACATATACAGAAGTAGTATTAAATCTTTAAAACACAAAACAAAAATGCATAAGAAAAAAAAACCTGGGTCAAAAAGGGAAATTGACAGTGTCTTTGAGGACATACCGAGTAGAGCTTCCCAGGGAAAGGCCCTATGGCAGGGTGGCCGCCTTTGCTGACCCTTAGAAAAACCTCTTCCCATGCCTGAAATCTTCTGTTAGGCTTCTACATTCTTTGAAATTAGTTATGTTCGTGTTTTCCAAAATTCTCTAGAGAATATTGGCATCAAAAGATTTGTCACAATCAGCTGAGCTTGGAAAGAGTTATTTAACTTTTTAATCCAGGGGTACCTAGATTTATATGAAAAAATTCTTTTTTATTTTTTTGTTTTTTTGAGAAAGGGCTTCTCTGTAGCTTTAGAGCCTGTCCTGGAACTCGCTTTGTAGACCAGGCTGGCCTCGAACTCAAAAAAATCCACCAGCCTCTGTCTCCCAAGTGCTGAGATTAAAGGCATGCGCCACCACCACCCCGGAAAAATTCTTATTTCATACAAAAATTCTTTCAACTTAATGTATCAAAGGTGTGTTGAGAAATGCTGAAGTTAGATTATAGCTACAGAGCTGCGGTCTGGTTTTAGTGAAGGCAGATAAAAGCTCTTCAGATCAGCGTCTACTAAAGTGTTGACCAGGTTAGCTGTCTGAACATAAGAGGTAGAGTCATAAGAGCTAGTAACAGGCAACAGTTAGACTCGCAGGACAATTCAGATAACCAAAAGGACACATTTCCCTCTCCGCAATCAAGACTTCTAATTTCTCCAACAGTTTTAATATCTTAAGATTCTTCAGTGTCTTCATAAAAGACTAGCTGTGAATGTACATGAAGCTAATTTTTGTTCCCATTCCTACTTGTTTTGTCCTTTTGTCAATACATCCCCCAGACCCCTGCCTCCCTTTTTAAAAAGGAGCATATTGTTCTTAACATTCATAGATATGCCACTTTATTCATTTTTTGTTTTGATTTTTTTTCTTTTGTTTTGTTTTTCTGAGACAGAGTTTCTCTGTAGCTTTGGACCTTGTCCTGGCACTAGTTCTGTAGACCAGGCTGGCCTTGAACTCACAGAGATCCATCTGCCTCTGCCTCCCCAGCGCTGGGATTAAAGGCGTGCGCCACCACTATCTGGTTTATTTTTGGTTTTTAAAACAGCATTTCATATACCTCAGGCTGGCCTAGAAACCTATTGTGATTACAAGTGTGTGCTTTCACATCTGCTTAAATAATGCTAGGACTAAACCCATGGCATATTCAAGCAATTCAAGCTTAATTTTATAAGGTGTTTTGACAATAGCTGTTTTGACAAAAAATAGCTAGAAGTAAAATTATTGACCAGCGGTTGTATACAGACATGAAATTCAATTTTATTTTATATAGCTACCACATGTTCCTTTTGTCTGCCTCATGATGGCTTTTCTATTTATAATCAGATTGCTGTCTTCCTCTCTCCCCTTTCTTTGTTTCTTTTTTTTAAAAAATTTATTTTATTTTATGTGTATGAATGTTTTGCTCATATATATTCATGTTTACTAGGTGTATGCCTGCTGTCTGGTATCTATGTAGTCATTAGAGGGTATTAGATCTCCGGGAACTGGAGTAACAGACTCTTGTGAGCCTTGAACTCATGACCCTCTTAACTTCTGCCTTCCAATTATTGGGATTACAGGCATAAACCACAACACCCAGCTATATTCTGCTTCTTGATTAAAATATGTTTTAGAATTGAAGTATTTCTGGCATAGTGCCTTTTTATTCACCTAGTTTGTTAATAGTTGGCTCATTTGCTGAGTTAGTAAATATTTAAAATAATGTTAACATACCTCCAACACAGGAAAAAATTCATAGTGGGTTTTCCCTTCTTGTCCATCCTTTCCCGTTTCTGTTTGTTCATACCCTAGTTGCTTTCCTGTGGCTATAGTTCATATTTCTTCATTATCTTGATCTTACTCGGACAGAACCCTTGAAAATAAGGGTGATTTTGGTTGACTTGCTCTGGTAGAGTCTCTGTGTCAGTTTCTTCGTTTAGCTCTGCCTTCTGACTATTCTCTGGCCCTTTTCACCATGTAGAGGTGAAAACTTTTCCCTTTCTCGTTAGGCCTCTTAAATTATTGTTTGCTTTTTTTCTCTTAGAATCAACTATGACATCTGTACTTCACTCTTCACTTCTGTTACTTGGGGTTCCCCTCTCCGTGTGTGTGTGTGTGTGTGTGTGTGTGTGTGTGTGTGTGTAAGTGTGTAATATTGTCTCACTATGTAGCCAGCCCTGGCTTACTTAGAACTCACCATATAAACCAAGCTGGTCTCAAACTTAGCAGCAGTCCTCCTGCCTCTGTCTCATGGTACTGGGATTGCAGGGTAGGTCTGGCCTGGCCCATTTTTTGTTTTTAATTTCTTTTTTCCCCTAACATTTAAATGTTTTGCATATTGTTCAATAGAACACTTCTAATGTATATCAGTAGTTTTTCATTAAATACATCTTTTATTTTTTCTTTTAGACCATGGAACTCTTTTACACTTATTAATCTTATTAGAAGCCACATTTAAAATCCTAAAAGCTAGTGAAATTGCTATTGGCTTGCATATTTTCATTGTCTGTATATTTAAATAATTGGCTTTATAGATTTAGTGTTATTATACTTATATTGTAATGAGAGTATTTTTACACTGTTAATAGCCTTATGCCATCAACTTACAGGGTGTGTTTGACCATCGGATGAAATGCTGGCAGAAATGGGAAGATGCTCAGATTACTTTGCTCAAAAAACGTGAAACTGAGGCAAAAATGATGGTTGCTAACAAACCAGATAAAATTCAACAAGCTAAAAATGAAATAAGAGAGGTAATTAATATTTTCTTTACTCAGATTTTTTGTCATTCATATATGCATAATTTTTCATATTTTTTTCTGAGTCATTCAGCATTTAGCTATTTCTCCATAGTTTTTATGAATTATGTGATTTAGTTAGAAGTATTTATCTCCAGGAACCTTTGTTTCCTCACATGACTTTGAAATGTAAAACACAGAAGGAAGCATCTAAAGTTAACCTTTGCATTTTGTACATCTCTTTTCAAATGGCTTTGTTGTCAGATGGTTACTCATTTTCTGTCTAAAAATGGTTTTAAAGGTAGACCTACCCACATTTAGTTCTCTGGGCAATATTATCCCCCATATATATGTATTATATATGGTATTTTAACAAATTTGTATAAGTTTATTATAATTTATACACTTTTTTTGCCATGCTTCAATAAGGAAATTGAAGAGGTAGGACAACCTTTATATTACTACAAATAAGTACATCTGCTCTTTGCAGAGTATGGACCAGTGTTTTGGTTACATAGTGGGAAAATACCATTTCATTGCTTAAACCTTTTATTTAGCTGTTTCATTGGTCACTAGTCATATTTTGTTGTGTCCATACTGAATTTAATGGTTATTGATGAGTCTACAGTAGACAATAAATAGTTCCACTCTTAAAAAAGTAGTCATTTTACCATTACAAATTTTTTAAAAGTGTTTGCCACATGTTGAAGTATTTCATGACCATATGAATTGTGATAAACATGTATTATTGGAATTAATATTGTTGGTATATTTTGAAATGTGTAAAAATCGAACTGCAGGTCTTTTAATTTATTTGATAGTGAAGTCTATACTCAAAATCCCTCCAGGTGTATCTAATGGGCATTGGTAAGGTGGTTCTTTTATTTGTTGGTTTTGAGATGGGATCTAACCATGTTAGGTGGAATCTAACCTTAGGCCAGTTTGGAATTCACAGTTCTTTTTCTCAATGTTAGAATTAGAGGCAGGAGCTACCATACCTGGCTGGATATTATATTTCATTAACTGTCTAAGTATTCTAATCTTAAATAAATGTAGCAATGAGCTATTAATGGAATTTAATCTTATATGTATTTCTATCACTAGGAGGTGAAATGCACCCTTTTGTGTGTGTGTATGGAGTGTGCACGTATGCATATGTAATGTGTGTGGGCATATGTGTATGTGCATGGATATACATGTGTGTGCATGCATGTGGAGGCTAGAGTATCATGTTTGGGTGTTTTATTCCATCACTATCCACCTTATGTTTTGAGACACACTGTTTCACTTGAATCCAGAACTTGCTGATTTGCCTTGCTTAGCTTGTCAGCTTTCCTCAGGGATCTTTCTGTCTCTGCCTGCAGGGTGCGGGGGTTACAGGCAAACTGCCATGCCCATCCAGCGTCTACAGGGTACTAGAGATCTGATTCTGATGATCACGCTTGCACAGCAAGTGCCTCACCCACTGAGTGTCCTCAACTTCTACATCACTGATTGTGTTAGACTGGATTTTCCAATATTGAGATTTCTTGGGTCTTTTAGGCATTTTGGTTAAATTAAATGAGTAATCATGACAGTACAATATTTTTTCCAGGCAAAAATAAGCATTTTTTCCTCTTGCTTGTTTTCATTAGTGGGAAGCGAAAGTACAACAAGGAGAGAGAGATTTTGAGCAGATCTCTAAAACAATTCGAAAAGAAGTGGGAAGATTTGAGGCATGTATCATAATTCTGTACTTTCCTTAATTTTGCTGTAGCTCTGTGGTAAAATTAGATTTAATTTCCTACTAATGTCCTTTCTTAATGTATTGTACTTTAACAGAAAGAAAGAGTGAAAGATTTTAAATCTGTTATCATCAAATACTTGGAGTCATTAGTGCAAACACAGCAACAGGTAAGCTCCTTCTCTTTACAGCCTGTAGGGTTTCTTCTAGGATTATTTCAGAGATGATTACTAGGCTTTTAAGACGGAAGAAAAATTAAAGGTAGATTAAAGAAAGGTAGGACAACGAAGGGGGAAAATGCTAAAGTAATTGGAAACTACTTTAGGTCTGTTTGTCTCTACTGAATAATACACAGAGATATTCTGTTCCCACAATTAAGCCCTAAAAGTCACAGAGGGCCTGTGAGAGATAGATCAGTGGTTAAGAATACTTCCTGCTCTTACAGAGAAAGCATCCACATAGCAGTCACATCCAGTTCCAGTGGATCCAACACCCTCTTCTAGCCTCCCAGAATACCAAGTGTACATGTGGTACACATATGTTCAGACCAAACACTTACACATGAAATCACGTAATAGCTTTCCCCTTATCTTTGAGACAGTCTGTGTATATACTTCAGGGTAGCTTGGAAATTGCTGTCCTTGTGCCTTAGCCTGCCTAGTGCTGAGGCTGTAAGGGCGCACCATGGCCTCTGACTTTATAGCCCTGGTTTCCTCTCCTTATCAGACTGACAGCTGCAGTAAGCACTCCTAAAACATCTCTCTCCTCTACAACAGATAGAAACTTAGATGGAAAACTAATTTTTAAAAGTTTTTTCTTTGTAGTATTTCAATAATTTTGTTTTATTTAGAATTTTTGGTAGTTAATTGCTACAACTGGCATTTGTTTCCTTACCTAGGAACTAGGAGCTTTCATGATGCATTAAATGAAGTCCAAGTCTTGCATATACAAATCAATTAATTTAGTGTCTTTAATAGGAATAATTCTTCCAATTAGTTTTAAAATGTTCAGAAATAGAAACCTGTATATATAATATAGTATATCTTCAAATTCAAGCCAGGCCCAGTGGTGCAAACCTGTGATCCCAGCACTTAGAAGGGGAGTGCACCCTCGGGAGAACCTGGTCTGCAGAGTGAGTTTCAGGCTAACCTGGACTACATAACATAACTTTCAAATGAACTAATAAAGTTAGATTTTTAAAAATGGAACTGCTAGGTAGTGGTGGCACACCCCTTTAATCCTAGCACTCTAGGGACAGGGCAGGTGGATCTTTAAGTTTAAGGACTGCCAGGCCTACACAAAGAAACCCTATCTTCAAAAAAATCAAAAACCAAACAACAATAACAAAAACCCCAAACCAACCAAACAACGTAAATCAGATAAATCTATTTCCAAAGAAGTTGTTTTAATTTAACTTTTTAGTATATGGTCAGTCTGTTTTCTAAATGACCCAGGAACTGGAAGCTAGTTTTCCAGTTGCTGTTTTTCTTTGTTACTCAATACTGACTTTTTTTCTTCCTTTATTCTTGTCCTCTTAACTAGCAATAATATAAAATGTGTATATCCTAGAAATTTGGGTATGACATTGCTTTATGTTGGAAATGGTCAGTTTTTAACTAATAATATTATGTTTCTGTATAATTTTGCATATATCTAAGAAGTGTAAAAATAAATACTATGTTTTTTACAGTGGAATCTGTAATTAGCTAGGAGTAATGTTTAAATAGGTTATATATTAATTCTGTTGATAAGACATCTGGTGAGGAAATGATCCATTTAAGAACCATATGTAGTCAGACTTCGTGATGAACACCCATAATCCAGCACAATGAGGCACAGGCAGAAGGACTGCCACAAAACCAGGGCCAGAGAATTCTACACAGAAGAGAGAAAGCCTGTCTTCTTTCAGACAGGCCATTGAAAAACAAAGCAAAACCCACACACAGGCGAGGTGTGGTTCTGCACCCATAATCCCAGTACTGGGGTGTCTGAGGCATGAAAACCTGAAGCTTAAGGTTTCCCAAACGAGTAAGAACAGGTGGTCCCCATTAGTACATCCAGTTATATACATATATAAATTAAAAAGACTAAATTAGAGTTAGCTGTTTATGTATATTTTTTAATAAAGAATATATGCACTAAAATGACAAAAATATAATGAAATTATCTTTTTATTATCGCCCACAGCTGATAAAGTACTGGGAGGCATTCCTACCTGAAGCTAAAGCCATTGCCTAGCGATAACGTTATCCCTGATTAAGGAGACATTGGATTCCTCAGTGAGATCATCTAGAAACCATCTAAATAAACCACTATATATTTTATGAATTACATGTGGTTTTTTTATATATAAAGACATATGCGCTGACATTTTATCACAGCTGCATGTCCTGACCCTCTTTGAATTCAGTGGACTGTGGCATGACATTCTGCAGTATTTGCTGAATTGAACACTATTGTGTCTTAAATAATTGCACTAAAAAGTGCACTGCAAGGCCAGAAAATTTTACAATCTTTTTTCTTTTATGTTCTGTATTATGTTTACCCTCATTGTGAAGCAAATTAGCAAATGTATTGATTAATGTTCACTTATACATTCCTGTACAGAAATTATGATTTTGTGATTATAGTAATAAAATGATATTACTTGTGAAATATTAGTAATAAATTATTTGAGTAAACATGTTAGGGATCTTTTTAATAAGAGGAAATACTTCTAAATATATAAATATAGTTAATACTGCCATTCCTTAAATGTTTTAACTGATAGGAAATGCCAAGTTTTTACATTGAATAGCTAAATGAGTTTATAAATTGGCTTATAAAACAACCATAAATCAGGGAGCAGTTATCTTTTCATTTTAGGTAAAGAAGAGAATATTATAAATGCCCAATTTAAGAGTCAGGACAGATCGGGCATGCAATCATGCCTGTAATCCCAGTACTTGGAAGATCTGGAATAAATGGATCATTGCAGGTTCAAAGCCAGTCTGGGCTAGAAAGTCAAAGGATGGTTTCTGTGTTTCAGTCATATGTGTCATGTATTTCTTTTTTTCTTTTTTTTTAACTCATGATTATCTTCAAATATTTTATTGTTGCCTCTGTTTCTATTTCAAACTAAAAGTAGGTCAAATGTAGTCATGATTGACATAGAATTGGTACCATATTAAAACACCAAGACAAGACACCAAGGACAGCAAACACAAATCTGAAGGAAAATGACATGTGCTGTGTCATTGGCAGCCTTCTCGCAGTTCCTGCCTGTCCTGTTTGGATGACTGGTATTCAGTGCTTAGTGATGATGAAGTTATAAGTTATGACTGCCATCATTCATGTTCCCCAGTCAGGTAACAGAAATAGACTGTTATAGAGGTGTGTAAAATTGACCAATCAGACTGCATTCTTTGTTTTTGGCCATCTACAAAGCCAAAGCATGAGGGAAAGGAGGGGTGCGTGGAGGGAGGACGGTGACCCAATCCTTTGGACTTCTCTAAGATTCCATGTTCAACATACTGCTCATGTGGCCAATAATTGTCAACATCACAGGATCCTGAAATGGTGGGCTGGTTTGTAGCATCTTCCAGCTAAACACTGAAGTACCTGGCTGACCCCCACTGTCTTGTGCTTGTTCATTGGTATTCTAAGCATGCCGGAATAGTTGGCACTAGAGCTTCCGGCGGGTCAGCAGACTTTCAGCACCACCACCTCGCCACTTTGCATATGCTGAATGACTTTGGGTTACATATAAATCATAGCTGGGTTCTCTTGACACTTGTTTGTGGAGAGTTGCCTTCTAAATACGTGTGGTGCCTTTGGCTCTCCTCATTTTTAGTTTTTACTAGGTCTTCTTAAGCTGAGTGTGGTGGCATAGACCTGTAATGCTACTGCTTGGGGGACTGAGGCCAACCTGGTTATAGAGTTATCTCAAAAACAATAGGAAAAAAAACCCCAAGTATTCTTACTAAAAACATCTGTTTGAGTTGGGCATGGTGGCACATATCTAGTCCCAGCACTTGAGAGGCTGAGGCAGGATCATGTGTTTGAGGCTAGTCCTATCTACAAAGTCTCTCTCACTTCCACCCCCTCCCAATCTGTCAAAGGCATGCACACAAAGGCAGCCTTTCTGGAACTCCTTGACCATATCTCCCCTGTGTCTTACTGGGTATATGAAGTGTCTCACCATGTCTGGAGTAAAGGTTTCAGTTGAAATATCAATACCACTGTGGGGGCTGTTCACATGAGACTCTTAGAACCCAGGAGACTGCCTACCACATTGTAAGATAGTAAAGGCTCAATGAACTGAACAGGAAAATCAGTCCTAGAAGTCATGTTTGCTTTTTAAGAAAACTACAGAGAAAGAATGAAACCTTACATCGCTGCTTACATTGAAAATAGCATTGAGAAATTAATAATTTGTAGTAACATATCAGCTGTCTTCTACCATAAATATCGAACCTACGGGCCAGTGAGATGGCTCAACAGGTTAGGGCACCTGCCACCAAGGTTGACCCTACCTATGTTGATCCCTACCTGATAGAACAGACTCCCAAAAGTTGTTCTCTGACCACATGACTGTTGCATGCATGCCTCCTGCACACAAATATAATTTAAAAGTAAATAAATGTTAAACAACAAAGAAGAAAAACCTGTTGGGAATAGTTAGTTTCCGTTGAATGAAGGCCTAGTAGTATGTCCTTAGTTGTTGTAATTCCAAACATGTGGTTTAGAAATAGTTAAGGTTTTATTCAGATCCAGGTTTTCATTATTAGAATACTCAATAATTCCAAATAATTTGAGTATTTTCAGTTTTGATGAAGCTTTAGAAAATAACCAAAGCGGACTGGAGAAATGACTCAGAGGTTAATAAGATCACTGACTGCTCTTCCAAAAGGTCCTGAGCTCAATTCCCAGCAACCACATAGTGGCTCACAACCATCTGTAATGAAGTCTGATGTCCTCTTCTGGCTTGCAGGTGTACATGCAGGCAGAACA